GATCTGTTTATCAGAGAGCTGTTGGATTGCATGTACAGAAGCCTCAACAAACAGGATATTCCATCTCAAATTTATGGCCCCTTGGCATACACAAGAAGGCTTCCCAAGGAAGCTGTGACTCTTAAGACTGCCAGACTCCATCATCCACCACGTTGCCAAAGGGAACAGGCTTGGCATCCGCTTAACTGGCACTTCCTGGTTAAAGTACGACAATGAGTGCCTTTTTTGAATTTGTGCAGCTTTTGGGTTATTAATTTCAGGATGGGAAATCATTAGTATTCTTAATTTAAAGAGGAAATCTTTGGACAAGAGTCTGCAGCTATACATCAATAATAAAGATTTTTCTCTGAATTATGATGTTTCTACCTGCCTCTGAGATTGGATTTTTTTCCCCCTTTTCGTTTCTAAGCCTTGAAATTTGCCTTAACATACTGACTCTGTCAGGTTCCTGTGGTGAATTGATAATGAAATTAGGAGAGACAGGGTCCATTGACTTAGAAGACCTGGGCCATTAGTTAAGTCTTCTCTCTGTTTCTGCAACTGGCTTGACACCCACTTAGTCACCTTGGTTTTGGCACTTGCCTCTGACACTGACACTTAAGAGAGCAGAGCTCAGAATGGAGATGAGGAGGGAGCATGGTAAATAGATGCTATAAAAAAAGAGGTGAAAATCAATACTTCCATTAACATCTAGAAGCAGACTCTTCAAAGGACATTTATATGTTTAACTGACAGTAATGTGCCAAGAAGACTAGTTCCTTTAAGGACCACAAATTATGTAACTATCACTGTGATATTATTTCGTTTTCTCTTTATTTTGACAAGAGATTTCACCAATAGAATTTAAAACTAAAACAAAACAAAACAAAAAACCCCAAGCAAACCAAAAAGCTCTGCCTGGGAAAAATATTGAAATAAAGATTACATTTTTCAAGAATGTAGCTACAATAAAAATTCTAGTTACATACATCAAAGTTACTAGTAATGTGCCATAAAATAGATATTTTCTTGAAGCTTATCATAATAGGATTGATCTGTACCTGTATCTCCTTTATAAGACCATTGGTTTTGTAATATGTATATTAGCAGTGAATGGTTAATTTTCTGTTTTTGTGTTATTGTATTATCCTCTCATCCTCAAGTCTAGATTTAATTCCTGGCTTCTGCATTCCCTGTGACTTAGAGAAGACAGTCAACTCTTAAAATGTTTTAATTTCCACACGTGTAAAACTGGTGTTGGGAGGAATAGAGAATGGGTGTATGTAAGTACCTAACACTGTGCCTGGCACACAATAGAGTTTCAGTAGCTCTTACCCCCCCACCTCCCCCCTCTACTTAGTGTTCCATTTCCCTCATGTTAGTCCTCCTACCTCCTCTGCTTTACCATCTCCACTCTACGCCTTCAGAGGGAACAGCTCTGGACAAAGGATGATAGTATTCAGTGACTTTGAATTAGGGATTGAGCTGGTGGCCTTCCCTCCAGTGAAGGAGGCTGGGTATCTCTCCCGAGGCTGCCACCACTTCTACTCCCCTTTCTTCCTTTCCTCATGCCTGTGCACAGGAGCCAGAGTTTGGTAGGCTCACCCGTCCTCATAGACAGCGTGGGGCTTGGGGCGTTTCTCTTTCTGAGGACAGAGGTATTCAACCCAGCAGATCAAGAGATGTAGCTTGTCAGCTTGGATTTGAAGGACACAGTTACTCTAAACTTGATTCTGATCTTCAAGATAGGGCAGGTTTAGAACAAAGTGCTGAGAACCTTGGGAGAAAACAAGAGCAAAAGACAGGAATGTTAATCAGTATCTCACATGCATCCTAGACTATGGAAAACACATTTCAGAAATTTCAAAGAAAATATAGGAGGATTTTCTGAAAGGGTATAGCTAGGTCCAGAAGGAGTAGAAAATGAAATTCTAACTACATAATAAAAAATAAGCCAAATATGGAAGAAGAACTGAAGAAATCAATATGGTTGCCCAGAGAACTCTCCTTTGAGCTCAGATTTTTAAAAGCATGTTTGAAAGATCAAAGACCTTGTAGGCAAGAACAAAAGCCATGCCACAGCACAAACCTAGAAGAATAGTGTCATAAAGACTAAAGTGAAAAATAAGCTCAGTTTTGCTCAGGAAAAAAAGGATAACAAAGAAAAATGACATTTACCAATGTGTACGGAGCAAGAAGAACTAGGAACTGTTAGTCACATTTCTAAGAAATTATGATGTAATGTTAACAAGACAAAGAGAAAATAGAATTACTCGGCTCTGATTTTGCTCTGTCTTCTATACCAGAAGAATGACCTTCAGACTAAAAATGTAAAGATGCCTGGCAGATGTACCTGAGGACTGAAAATAAAACATGATGAAACGCAAAGCAAGGAGTCCCTGGATGATTTTCCATGGGGGAACGCAGCTGTGTCAAGGATCACAGAGGTAGCATCAGCCAGAAGCTGGACCACTCCTGCAATGGCCTCTCCGAAAGATGATGAAGGACTGAAGGGAGGCATTGCAGAGCGTCAGAGAAAGGTCTGATGGAGGGAGGCTGAGGAGGTAGAATTGATGAAATAACCCACTGCATTTCAGGAAAGATGTGGACGTGCTGTTTGAAGTGAGCACAGAGAAGGAAAGGATTTCATCTGTGGAAACAAAGCAGACAGGATGAGGGGAGTAGAGACTGTGGGTGGAGAACAATCACATGAACCTAGTGGTGGAGGCAAAAAGTTGGCGTGTGTTTAAGACAGGAAGAATCCAGGTTTGCCAGAATCTTAGGTAACGTTCAGGGAAATAGCTGGGTATACAGGAGACATGGAGGAAAGGATACAGTCTAGGTGCAAAGGGTTTATTACCTATCAGAAGTTCAAAATGAGGGCTCCGTACCTGCTGAGGAGCTGCGGGTGAATTTGAAAAAAAAAAAAAAAAAAAGAGCTATTCATATACCTCGTCCTGTGGACACCATGTAATTAGAATATGTAGCTCAAACCTAATGGAATCAGAGGTCTGTGAATTTCTTTGTGTTTTTGTGTGAGATTGACAGGTTAACAGTAAGACTGTTGAAAATGGACAGTACCACTCCTATTAAAGAAGGTATCTGGGTTATTTTGAATTGCAGGATGCTAATGTGAACAGAGAAAGCTTCCTGGTCCCACCAGAGCTTACGATAAGGCTTCCTCAGGTAGACCAGGGGTCCAGGAAGGCCTCTCTAAGAATGTGACTTGGGCTGAGAGCTTGCAGATAAGTGGAAACTAGCCTGAAGAAGTACTGCACACACTGGGAGGATTAAGACTTTAGTCAGATCTGGGTGCCTCACTTTAAAGAGAAATGTTGCTGAAGTTCTGTCGTATGGGGAACCGGAGATGGCTAGCCAGGAGTCACTGACTTAGAAGGAAAGCTGTTTTATCAATTCTCTCTTGCCTCGAGGAAGAATCTGATCCAATCCTTAGGTGATCCAGCATCAAGGTCAAGCTCAGAGGCTCCAGACCCAGATATCTAGATTTGATTCCTGGCTCTGCCATGAATTACATTACTTCCTATGTATAATAACAGAAGCAACAACAGTAATACATACGGCACAGGACTGTTGGGAGGATTAAATAAATAAATACCGGTCGTGTCTAAAACAGTGCCTGGAACACAGCAGTCATTTAATACATGTTGGCTATTATTATTGCAAAACAGATGGGTATGTATCATTTTGTAATGGAATGTTTTAGTTATCCAAGTTGTTGTGCAATATTTGAAAAAAAAAAGAACCTAAAATGTTTAGCCAGGGATGAGATGCTCATTGGAAGAAACCAGGAGGAGCTGACACCTGCCTTGAGTGGGCAGATAAATTATATGACACCCAGTCTTTTTGACTTTGAGATTCCACAATTTCATGTGCAAGAATTGGTCTTCATTTCAACTAATAAATGTGTTCCTGGTAGCAAATTATTAAGTATCCTGTGGCACTTTCCTTGTTGGAACCAAATATCTGTTCTTTAGATTCATAAGACCCTAAGTCTTCAGTTAGGACATAGCTGTGTGTTTCAATTTGTGATGAGTCAAATCTCTGAGAAAACTATGTATTCAGTCTATAAGATGGAAACAGAGAACATGGAATTTTTAATACGCTTTCATTCTGAAATGTAAAATCAGGGACTTTTAACTTATTGTCATATTGCCACAACCATCTTGTAAATGCTTCTTGATTGTTAGTAAAATGATGATACTTTATCATCAATCAGCAATGAGCAATAAGGGTCAGTTAAGACATACAGTTATTTTTTTTTTTTATCCTTTCAAGGGTTTTCCTCAAAATTCTCGATCTCAGTGAGAGCACTGATAATCTGTGAATTATCTGCACTCTCAAAATGCAGAGAAGAATCCAAAAAGATTTAGAAGAAAACATTGGCCCATTTTACTGCGAATTCAGCCAGGCTGATTTGCTCAATGGTAACAGAGGAACAGCAACTACGCTAAACACCAGAATGGTCAGTGCAATTAATGCAATTAAAGTAATTACTCCTGGCAGCTGTAAGGTCAAATAGAGGTAGCTTTGTAACAACAATCTGCCACTGCAAAATTACTGACATTTCCAACTAAATTATATTCTCTAAATTGTTGCCTTAATGCTAAATAAATAAAGTTATGCTAATGTAGGGACTGATTACAGATTGAAATTAGCACAATTGCTTGTTATACAGTCTGCTAGGGTTAACATTTTTAAAAAACATAATTAATAGCCTTTGCTTACTGTCTCTGGTTATAGATCCTGCAGCTCATTTGCATTCTTTTGCAAAATGCTGACAGTGCTAAATGTCTAAGAAGAAAGATCTCATCTGGAGGTGGAAAATGCATTTTGCACATCATCAAGCTAAAACTTGTTATGGTTTCAGGCCAGCCTTCATAACAGAGATGACCAGAAAGAGAATGGATCAGAACGAAGCTAGAATCCGTTTTTCTTTTCAGCCTGGTGATCCAAGCCTTTTCTGGAGTCAATGTGAAATGTAATTGCTCTTTTGACCTCTATCTTCTCTCTCCCCAGGTCTGAGGAAGAGCTACACTGGTTGATTATTGCAAGAATGAAAGGCACTCTGACCTTGTGGACCGAACGCCTTGCGGCTTTCAATGTTGCCCATTACACTGAAGGCAGGCAACTCCTAGAGAGAGGCAGAATCGACAGGAGAGCTGCTCACTGGGCAACCTGCCAGAAAAGGCTTCAGCAGCAGCAGTTTAGACACCGCCGAACAGCTCAGGCAGCAAAGGAAACAGCTGGGGAAGGGGGGTGGGGGTGGGGGCGAGGCAAAGACAGAGTATATAAAAATATTGTTAGCACACAGTTTAAAGAGCTCCCGGGCATCCGTGCTATACAGCGCCTTTGCTAATCCTGCCCCTCATCATCTGCCTGAACTGAAAACCGACCTGGGAAGGAAAGCTGAAGAAGGAAGCAGCAGCCAACGTAAGTGCAGCTTCTGATTTCCTAAAATAGGCCGACACTCACCCAAAAGACCTTATGATCATCCTCCCACGTAAATAGGAGTGCAGTGTGAGTTTCCAGCAAAAAGTAGGTCAGGATATGGCGTTCCGATAATTGTTCTAGACTCTAAATGATTCACTACAAACCTGGTGGGATTATTTTTGGAATTTATGATTCACAGAAGGATTAGGGTGCCACTCGGGCTGGAAGCAACACACTGGCTCCTTCTGGCTCTCCAGTTAAACCTGATTCATTTAAAACCAGCTGTGGGTTCTTTGCATATCTGCTAGTTCTACTCCAACAATGAAATTTTATCGAGCATTTAGCACGTGCTTAAGCCCTATGGGAGAATAACTGGCATGTGGCTCGTCCCTGTGCATTAGTGAGACCATTTGGTTGACCAGTCGGACACAGCAGTGGAGCTATTTGCTTTGGTATTTCATTCCATCCATGGAGGGAGCAAGGCATGGTGTTGGATGTTCTAGATTCAAACTTTCATTTAAGTCTTAAAGTAATCTTCAAGTTCATACCGTCATCCCCATTTTAGGAAGACATGATTTACCAGAGTTTTAAAAGGTTTTGTAGTCTGGAATTAGCCAGACTGGGGTTCAAACTCAATTTTGTTACTACTTAAAATCTGCAGTCTTGAAAAAAAAAATGTCCTTTTCCTGGGCTTTGGTTGACTTAGTTTCTATAGTGAAGGAGACTAGATGGACTTAAGACCTTTCCCAGCTCTGTGGTTCTATACGAAATATTGTTGAGGAACCACACATCCTAGATTTTCTGGAACACCCCAACTCCAAATATTATGGTCCATTATGCCTATGAAATTATTTATGCCCATCAAATGCTGAATTTGGGCACCACAATCTCCCTATCTATACATAAAAAGAACTATCAGAAGTAGGGAGAGAATAATGAGTAAAGGCTGGGGAGAATAGTGTTAAAAGATACTTTTCAAAGAATGGCAAAATTGTGACCCTTGTACAGAGATAAAAATGAGTACATGTTAAAGATTTGATTCTACTCATTAATCAAAGAGGGAACCGACAGATGTTATAACCTGTTCAAGAGAGTCTAAAGAGACACATTTAAAGATCAGGAATATTGAAATGAGTACACAAATGGAACCAAACTGGTTTTTTTCCCAGAGGAGTGGAGGGAAATCAGTTGAACCTTTACCATACAGGGAAGCATTTGCATGTCTATCAGTTACCTGTAACATACAAGTTGTAAAATAGCTCAAGGACAGTGAAGGCTAAAATCAGATAATGGGAAGGGTGTGCTGTGTGCAGACAATGCATAGGTTCCCATGAAACAGTTTTTTTTCTGAAGGGAATATAGCTTGGATTCGAACATGGCTTTCATTGTGGTTTCCGTTTCTTCAATAGCTTTCAGGGGAAGGATCTCAGTGGGGGCTTGGGTGTGGACCAGGATCACCCGGGAAACTTTCAGATCAGAATCACCGCCTCAAGACTGCATCGAGGAGTCTAACGAATGTTCTAAACAATTAGAGGGTCTCTTCAACTGCTTTTTGAGGTTGAAATTATGATCGAAGGAGACCTGGAAATTCAGCTTTGTGCAGTATTTATAGGTGCAGTATTTCTTCCTGATCCTTTTGTGACTTTTTTTTGATGTGGTTTAAGGGTCTTGAAACTGTTAAGAGTTCAGTTCACCAAGGGCTAAGGACTGCTGTGCACACTGGAGGCACAGCAAAGTCAAAAGGAGAAAAGTGAGAATTAAAGAAATAAAAAGAGGGAAAAAGCTTTTTTGCAGTGGGTTTGCTGCCAGAAGACAGGGGTCATAAAAAACCACTGCTAAATCTAAGGCAAAATGGGAAAGGAATAGTCTTATATCAACATGGTCATCATTGGACACGTAGATTTGGACAGGTCTACTACTGCTGGCCATCTGATCTACACATGTAGTGGACTGACAAAAGAACCATCAAAAAGTATGAGAAGGAGGCTGCTGAGTTGGGGAAGGGCTTCTTCAAGGAAGTCTAGGTCTTGGATAAACTGAAAACTGAAGGCTAGCATGGTATCACCGTTGTACATCTCTGCAGAAATTGGAGCCAGGCAAGTATTGTGTGCGCATCACTGATGCCCCAGGGCACAAACACTTTATCAAAACCATGATTTCAGGCACATCTCAGGCTGACTGTGCTGTCCTGATTGTTGCTGCTGCTGTTGGTGAATCTGAAGCAGGGAACTCCAAGAACAGGCAGACCCCTGAGCATTCCCTCTGGCTTGCACGCTGAGTGTGAAAGAAGTAATGGTTGGTGTTAACAGAATGGATTCCACTGAGTACTCTAGGGCCAGAAGTGATACAAGGAAATCATAAAGAAAGTCAGCACTTACATTAAGAAATTTGGCTCAAGCCCAACACAGTAGCATTTGTGTCAGTTTCCGGTTGGAACGGTTACAACTTGCTGGAGCCACGTGCTAACATGTCTTGCTTCCAGGAATGGAAAGTCACCTGTGAAGATGGCAATGCCAGTGGAGCTTGGGATCACACTGCTTGAAGCTTGGGATCACATCCTGCCACCAACTCGTCCGACTCACAAGCCCTTGCCTCTGCCCCTCTAGGACACCTGCAAAATTGGTGATATTGGCACTGTCCCTGTGGGCCAAGGAGAGACTGGTGTTCTCAGCCTGAGTGTGATGGTCATCTTTGTTCCAGTCGATGTTACAACTCAAGTAAAGCCTGCTGAAATGCTCCTTGAAACTTTGAGTGAAGCTCTTCCTAGGGACAGCGTGGGCTTTGATGTCAAGAATGTGTCTGTCAAAGATGTTCGTCAGGACAGTGTGGTTGGTGGGATGGCAAAAAAATGACCCACCAGTGGAAGCAGCTGGCTTTGTGGCTCAGGTTAACATCCTGGACCATCCAGGCTGCATCAGTGCTAGATACACTCCTGTGCTGAATTGTCACACGGCTCACATTGCTTGCAAGTTTGCTGAGCTGAAGGAGAAGCTTGATCATTGTTCTGGGCGCAAATTCTTGAAATCTGATGAGGCTGTCTCGTAGTTCATGACAGCCCACTTGTGTTGATGGCTTCTTTGACTCTCCTCCTCTGCCCTTTTGCTTTTGGTGAGACTTGAGACAATCTGGTTGCCACCAGTGTCATCAAAGCAATAGACAAGAAGGCGGCTGGAGGTAGCAAAGTCACCAACTCGGCCTAGAAAACTCAGAAAGCTAAATGAATATTATTCCTAGTACGTGCCTGCCTGCTCTTCATCAGTGGTGGAGGAACAGCCTCAGAACTGTTGGTCTCAGTTGGCCATTTAAGTTTAATAATGAAAGACTGGTTAATGAGAATAATGCATTGTAAAACCTTCAGGAGGAAAGGAGGATGTTTTGTGAACCATTTATTTTGTGTGTGTGTGTGGCAGTTTTAAGTATTGGTATTTCAGATCAGTACTTTTTAATGGGAACACCTTGACCAAAACTCTGTCACAGAATTTTGAGACTCATTAAAAGAAAGTTTATTGAGGAAAAAAAAGTGAGGGATGAAGAATAAAATGAAGAATGGAAACAGGGAAGAGAAGAATCAGCTGGTACAGGGGTGGCCATGGATGCCCCTTCCCCCTCCAGAGAGCTACTTTGTTAATAAAAATAGCATTTCAAATTCATGCCCATAAAGAGTGGGAGTCAAAAGAAGCTTTATTTCCAAAGCTCTGCTTTGTCGATTTCCCACCTCCACTGACAATCTAACATGGTCATAGTTTTCACGAATGTATTGGAGTGTATGTATTCTAATTCCATTATAATAAATGAAATTCACGCTGTTCTTGCAATTTTGTACTTTGAAGATTTTTCCCCCTTTCTCCCACACTTCCCTCCCTACATAAAAATTAAAAATAAAGGGAGTGATCAACTGAACATCTAAATGGAAGTCTTTTCCATTTGCATGTATTTTTAAAAACACAATACTGTATTGTAACGGTACTGGACTAAAGAAGCTATAGTTACTGATAGTTCTGAAAGGAAAATTTGTGAAAATACCAATTCAAGTTTTTAACTCAGCAATGAAAATGAAATGCAAAAGAGAAATGAAACGTGGAATGTGGAGAACTCTGGCGGTTCTAGGAAGACTGTGAGAATCGCTACAGGAGGAGCATTCAGCAGGAGGAAAGCTGGCACAGGGTCAGGGCACACTAGACCTTCTATCTAGTGAAGCTTTGTAACCTCCCAGGATATTATTCTGGAGTCACTCTTGAAAGAAAATTTGAAGAAGCTCAGTAGCTGTCACACTCAAAGAGGTCAACTCAGAAGGGGTGTTACCAATCTCAGATTAGGCTGCTCACCACTCAAAAGCCAACGAGTCGAGAAGTGTCGGTAGAAAGGAAAGGTGCTTTAATCAGAAAAAGCCGGCAAGCTGGGGCGATGGTGAACATGTGTCCAGAGACTATCTCCGAAGATTTTGCTCAGCCATGAGTGTTCTAAAGGGAAAAGGGGAAGAGATCTGTTAATCTTTGAGATAGGGAGTCAGAGTCGTCCCCACCCCCCACCATGTGCAGGCTTGTGGGAAGCAGTATTATCTTGACTAAATTCTTTGGGAACTGTGGACTCCAGGAGAGGAAGGAAGGTCCATGGGCTTTCAAAGTGATAGAGTACAGCTGGGCCAGCAGACTCCCAGTTGGCAGGGAGATCACTGTGTTTGAACAAGGCCAGAAGGGTTCAACCAGCCAGCACCATGATGCTAATGAAAGAATGCTACTTGAACCTCTCTAAAGTCAAAGTTTCATAAAAATTGTTCGGTCCTACCGAATAGTTTCTTTCTTTTCATTGTTTTAACCTAAGGGATGAAGAAAGTAAATCAGTGTCAGATTAAACCAAAAAAAAAAAAAAAAAGATTCTGGTAGCTCCACACAATATATTAAAAATGAAAATAATCGTTTGCTTGTGGGAAGAAGAGAAAGCTCATAAAACTTATAGACGCTTCCTTCTAATCATACACATTGTTTAAAAGAAACTTTAGAGCTATTATTCCTTTCGATCTTCCCCCAAAGCTACAAGGTGTACAAAATCTACTGAAATTGCACTGCTTTCTAGCTGTCATGTTTTAAATAGGTAACATACACATACCTTCCAAGTTTTGAAAAGCCCATTCAATTTTTATATAAAAACAAGTTACCAGAAATGGGCAGAGTACACTACTAAATATAGCAATGTAATTACTGTCATATAAATGATCTCCTCTCTATAGTGTTAGAACAATGAAATAAAAGGTTTATCTTGACAAAGTTTGAGTAAGTAGAGGTGGAATTGATTCAGAATCTCCATAACTTCTCCATCCACCGGCATGGGAGGGGGCGGAAAAGAGCTCCTTTAATTTCAGTATCAGCACGTCCTTCCTGTTCATTTGCATTTGGGGAGTTTTTCCACAATGTATTCATTTGCTAGTGAGATAATGTGTCCCTGCCTGATCAGATAAGAGGCGGATAGAATTACTAAGATGAAAAGAGGCAGCACAAGGGCAAGAAAGCAAAGCAGCCCTTCCTTTTCTCACCTCATCTGGATGGATCTGAATTTCAACCATCTCTTTTTTTTCTCATGGTGATAGTGGGGCCATTTTCCAAAACTGGGCTAGGACATTGCAAATTGTGTTCTACAGATTCTTTTCTCTGTAAAGTGCCATTCAGAGAAGGAATGTGATGTCATCATGCTGTTCTCTTCTGGTATTTGTAGGGACTTGTCAGTTAATAAATTGAGGGCAATTTAAATCAACTGTCACTCAATATGCATCAACTGTTTCCAGGTACTGCGGAAATAGCACGATGGAGGTCCGCTCCTTTAAAATAATTCTAGAAATATATCTATCTAAAAACATTTCTAATAGAAAGTTAGAAAGCTTGGATTCCCAGAAATGTTTAAATTGCTGATTGGAGTAACAGGGTTACTAGTAGCTAAAACATAGATAGAATCTAGATAGAAATACAGGTTAAATGGAAGGAGTAGAGGTGATGTCTTATCCTGCACGGGTTTTAGGTAAATGTACGATTTATGTAGAGTGCTCAGTGGATTCCTTAGGACAAGTCCAAGTTGGGAAGCCACCACTGGGCATGGAGCAGCAAGTTTTGAGTTCAGGAGTCTCTGGCCTAAAAACCAAACAATTCCCTTGGCCCTCACTTTCCTTTCCTGCAAGCTTCCAGAGTCTCTCGAATATGAAAACTGTCCTTTTTGGAAAAATATGGGAGAGCAACAGCTTCTTGATCAGCATTTCATTGGTACGGATAACACAGAGACCAAGGTCAGACATTCTTACAGAATGAAAGGGGTGCAGGAGTACACGCTGAGAAAAGATGGTTTTGCTTTGACTTACCTAGGAGACGCTGTGAAGGTAGCTTGGAAGCGTGAAGCGCTCATTGGCTGACTTGACTGGGGAAGGCTTAGATTCCTCTCATCTCTTACCTGCTGCCCTTTGGGTTGAGTACTACTCTGGGATAAAGGAGAGCTCTAGAGTGAGTAAAAGCATGCCAGATTTGAAGTTCCTCTGCTCTCCATCACCCAGAAACACCATAGCTCTGAGTTGGGTACCAGTCCACTGTTGTTCCCCCTGCCCGCCCACGGTGGTGAAGCCTTGTTTGGTATTGAAATCATGCTGAATAACGATGCCCTGCGTGGCCTTGTCACCCACAGAGAGCAAAAGGAACTCTGAAATAGTCACAGTCTCATAAAGAAAGTAGTGTTTCTTTAGTAAAACACTAGTGTCCACCAAACAACTGTTACAAAGGAGATGTAGCTCCTATGACGGGAGAAATTTTTCCAGGGCTATTTGGCCAAAGATGATAGTATAATAGCAAGAATACCAAAAATGAGAATGCAATTATGAAGGAATCCTTTGCAACCCTGCACCCCCATGTTCTAACTGTATTCATTTCCCAAAACTATCAGACCATATTCTAAAGACTAACACATCAACCGAACAGCATTGTACCACCTTTTTTCTTTTTTTTTTAATTTTTTAATTGAAGTATAGTCAGTTTACAATGTTGTATCAGTTTCTGGTGTATAGCATAATGTTTTACTCATACATACACATGCCTAAATTCCTTTTCATATTCTTTTTTGATTATAGGTTATTACAAGATATTGAATATAGTTCCCTGTGCTATACAGTATAAACGTGTTGCTTATCTATTTCATATACAGTACTTAGTATCTGCAAATCTCGAACTCCCAGTTTATCCCTCTACCCACCTCTTCTCCCCTGGTAACCATAAGTTTGTTTTCTGTATCTGTGAGTCTGTTTCTGTTTTGTAAATAAGTTCGTTTGGCTTTTTTTTTTTTTAGATGGGGCTATGACGTCAGCATACCCAGTGCAATATTCAAGAAAAGGTAACTAGATTTTTTTGTTGTTTTGCATTCTTTCTTATTGAAGTATAGTCTGTTTACATTGTTGTGTCAATTTCTGGTGTATAGCATAACAGTTCAGTCATACATGTACATACATATATTCATTTTCATATTTTTTTCATTATAGTTTGCTACAAGATATTGCCTGCCTTGAAGCTCGGGAACTAACATTTATTGATGGCTTTGCCGGTGCCTAGCACGAGGCTTCAGCACTTTCTCACATGCTAGGATGCTAGAGAGCAGGCTACTGTAAGACAGCTTTTATTCTCTCTGTATCTACAGGACAAGGACACTGGCTATGATTTAAAAAAAATAGAGATCAGGTTAAAAAGATGGATACATCTGAGGGTGTGCATTGGAGACTGTGAAAGAAAAATGACTAGGGATGAAAAAGGAATGCAAAGTAGGACTGCGGGCTGGACATGCATAGGTCAAGGTCTTAATTTTTTTAGACAAACTGAGTGCCCTGTGGACATAATCCAGGGTCTCTAGAAGTTAGAATGGAAGCACATTGCTCTCTTCATTCTAAAACGGTTATTTTCTCTAAGAGCGAGGCTGAAGAGAAGAACTGAGAAGATCAAAGTTGCTAGCATATTTCTGAGCCAGGGCTTGAAAGTATGGAGGATTCTTAAATCCATGCCCTTCCCAGGTCAATAGGTTCAACACAAGCCTGTGTTACATTGGTTCAGAGTCCCTGCGGGATTCCCAAGAGTTTAATCCTACACATTAGCAACACTGGGAGTTAAGATTCTTGCCTGACTCCGTGAGCTCGTTTCCCAAGTGTTTTGTAAATCTCTGAGCAGTATGGTGGAAATGAATAAAAGGAATCCAGCTGCATTTCCTGAAAATGTTCCATATTCTAGCAAAAATAGTTATAATAAACTTTCCTGTAATTCCCAGTGAGCAAGTTGGCTTATTCAATTGAATAGACATTTACTGGGCACCCAGGTGTGAGGCATAGTGCCAGGCGCTGGGGTGGGGGGTGTACTGTGGTGATGGCAGTGGTGATGGGCTGCTGATGGTGAGAAAATTACTTCCTGGGGGCTTACTGTGCACCGAACATTGTTCTAAACTCCCTATGTGCGTCCGTCTGAGGAAGTGCTTATGACAGCCTTACTAGGTAGGTCTAACCCCCACAGTACAGAAGTGGAAACTGAGGCATGTTGGTGACTCTACTTCCCTGAGGCTCAAGGTGGTAAAAGTCAAGTCTTGAGGAAAAGCTCCCTGTCATTGCTTTGTTTTTCCCACTCTCATTTTATTTATTTTATTTGATTCTTTTTTAATTGAAGTATAGTCAGTTTGCAATGTTGTGTCAATTTCTGTTCTACAGCATAATGTTCCAGTCAAACAGATACATACATATATTTGTTTTCATACTCTTTCATTATACATTACTATAAGATATTGAATATAGTTCCCTGTGCTGTACAGTATAAACTTGTTGTTTATTTTTTATATAGTAGTTAGTATCTACAAATCTCAAACTCTCAATGTATCCCTTCCCACCCTGTCCGCCCACTGGTAACCATAAGTTTGTTTTCTATTTCTGTCTCACTCTCACTTTTTAAAAATGGTAAATTTTTATTGAAGTATAGTCAGTTTCCAATGCTATGTCAATTTCTCCACTCTCACTTTTAAAAGTATGAGCAGAGAAGTTGAACTCAGAAGGTACCAGGGAAATAAAGTGGACTTTTACAGAAAGTCTAGATGTTGAGAAAATAAGCCAATTCTTTATTATCACATCATATCATATGAAATCATATCCTATTAGATTACCTTGATAGTCATAAAGATATATTTAGAAGTTTTGCAAACAGCCATGAAAAAAATTCTCTTGGTTGTCCATTTGTATTGGTTAATGGATAGCTGCTGAAGCCAGCTGGAGGCAGCAATAGACACAAGACAAGCAGTCTTTTTTTTCCCTTAAACCTTAAAAACCTTAAAATGTCTGACAGAATGCTTCTAATGAGAAAATGGAAGTGAATGTGTAAAAATAAGCCTGTTTGAAAACATCCTAATGTGATTATTCATATTGTATTTGAGTCTCCTCTAGTTTAAAAACAAAAAAAAGGAAATTATGTCTACTGTGAAACCTCCAGAAATGTTGTTTGTTTATGTCCTAAGATAGTTTTAGGAGCATCTCTCTTATCAAAATTTTTAAGAATCATTTCCATCTTGGAACCATTCCTTCATTAAAATGTCCATATATCATTCCATTTAATTTCCTTTAATCCCACCAGAAACACATCAGGTACCACTCACAGCCTCAGGAGTATATACAAATTTGTTACACCATCTTTAGGGAAAAGCTTGTCGATTTTTAAAGTGTTTATGCTTACTTTATTAACATTATTTAAATAGTGACATAACCAGTGTTGATTTGCTGCCACTACCTTGGAAATGTTTAAACATTATTACAACTTAGCTCCACATTCCAGTTTTATCTCTAAAATTAATGCTTTTAGGCTCAATTTATGCCTGTCAACAAGTAATGATCAGAGATGTGAGCTGGCTCATAATCCAGAGGTACTAGGTTACAATGTGTAACCATGGAAACTGTGTTTTATTGCATTTTCTCTTCTTGATTTAAGGCATTTGACAATCATAGCAACTGTTTGCCAGTCTTCCCACATCATAAAAAATTCAAAAACACAAACAACCAATAGAGAAAAAAAAAAAAGAAAAGAAAAAGAAGATGGGAGGAGTCTCTACTGTTCTTGGACCTCATTAGAAACATAAAAAAGAAATGACAGCCTAATATTTAACATGGACCTTTTGTGAATAGTTTATCTTTCAGAAAGTCCAGGAGTGTTGGAAAATTCAATCAGTGGTTAGTCATAGAATGGACCTGTCTGCCTGTGGTTCATTTTGTTTATTGCATCATATATCTTTTATGATCACTGGGACTTTAGCCTGAAACAGCATTTTCTTTAACAAGAGCCATGTTTCCGTTAACGTTGTTTATTGCATCTGAAACATTACTCTTTGAAATCACGGTACATTTTCTATCGAGCAAAG